ATCTCTACGGCGTATTCAGTAACGTAAACACGTTACAATATTAACACATATCATGTACTTATATGATTAAAATATGACACCAGTTTCAGATGACAGAACGACACACTGGCTATCCAATTTGGTTCTACATTAATCTTTTAATGGATTACAGAAAGTACTTTTGTACCCTTCAATAAGGTTTGGGACAAATAATTTTACTTCATAAAATACCACTAATGAAAAAATGGATGAATATCTCCTCTTCTCTAGTCCCGAAAAAAAAATACACCGTGAGGTGTGAAAACTGTTTTAGGAGCCGAGCTCACAGATTGACCTTCTCCTTTCCCCTTGCATGGAGCTCACTGTGGACTGCTTTGTGTCGAGTTCCAACTCTTTCTCGCCAAATCTTCATTTTCAGTCCATTCACTGTCAGTGCAAACCTCCAGATGAATTTCCTCTCAGCAATTTGAGAAGTATTGCGCTTCCATTTAACAAAACTTTTTGCAGATGGCTAAGGTTGCCTTGTGGGAGCCTGTGTGACTTGCACTGTGTCAGGGAACATAGGGCACAGATATCTGTGTTCATGGTGAGGTGCCCCAAGCTTGCCAATCATTCCTGAACTGCCAGAAGGTACAGTTCCATGCTTGCTGGGACTTGCTAGAATACGCACATTGACGTGGGTGGCCCTGGGATGTCCATCCCTGTAAAGTCACAGCAGAGTCATGGTGAGAAAACAGAACCATCAGCAGCAAAGCAAAATATATGTGAAGTTAAGAAATTTCCATGTTTCATCACACAACTTACACACATTTTTTCCAAAATTTCAATGAAAAAATTTGATGCATGATTTATGATGATGTATACTGCAAAAAATATCACCATATGTGCCATCTAATTTTAAAATGATACATTTCAATTTAAATGCCTCAAGTATGATGGTTACAAATCATTTGGGACATGGAGTTGTGCTAGTACAGGCAAAAGATCCGGATGCATAATTTCCATTTCCAATTCCTTCAGGATAAACAGCTTGCTGACTACCTGGCAAAGGCACTGCACTTTCATGGAATGACAGGGTAAGGCTTCAAAAGTAGGTGAAACAAGAACGAGTCCCTAAAGGTTTGGAGTAGGTACTTATCTTCCAGAACATTCTTCCAACATGTGGCCCAGATTTCCTGTGTTCAGAATTCAAGAAGAGGAGAACATATTTCAGTGCAGATCATAATGAAAGAGGATTCAAGATTAAAGGACAGAATTGGAGGTAAAAAATTGGACATCAATCTGGCAACTGTTCTTTTGAACTTATATAATCATCTTCGCATGAGGCTTGTTTCATGTCAAGAGTATGATTGATTTGAGGAGGGCACTTACCCAGCTTCTGACATTGTCAAGGATCACAAAACATAGGCTCACTAACCTGTGTTCAAAAAAAGACTTAGGCAGCCACTTAGCTCTTTGCTGGTCACACTCCCTTACTGAAAATGAAAACACCAAACTGGGTAGAAATGAAGCTCCTTTCTATCCTGTAAAAGTTCATCCTGCCATTATTATAAATGAAACTTGACACAATGTTGAGTACAACACAGCGTGATTTACTGACTGAGAATCTTCATGAAAGCCTGGGCTGGGCTGATCACTCCAGCACAGCTACTCAACTGCTAAGGGAGAAAATCAGAAGGTCACTTTATTCAGAACACATTTTGACCTACCAATTTTTGCCCCTATTATTACCAGAATAATGTCAAAAACCATCAGTATGTCAAAATATGTTCTGAATAGAGAAATACAATAAGATACAATATAAGCAACCTAAAACAGGCACAGGCCAGGAAAGAATATGAGTAAATCAATAAGGATTTGTGTCAGGAGGTAAGGGAAGGTGTGACAATTGAAAAATAGTGGAAGAACTTGGAAACAGTTCTTAAAATTGCAGCAGAGGAAAGTATTGGGAAAGCTAAAAGGGACTTCAGGAATGGCTGGTTTGACCAAGAGTGTGAACAGGTGAGAGTGGAAAAGAATAGGAAATGCCAGAGTGCGCTTCAAAGAAATTTACTAGAGCAGCAACAGAAGAATATCATATCCATTTTCTTTAGCCAAGGTTGTTTATCAAGAGAATCCGTCCAGGTCCAAGGCTTTGGGTTCATTTTCATATTATGATTATTTTTTACGGTGAGGAGATGTTTCCCCACACCCGACCCCCAAACCGGAGGATCACCCCTTATCGGCTGTCCGTGACTGCTTATTCAATAAATTCGCAGCTTCCCTCCAAAACTTTAGGGCATCGCCTCCATCCACAACCTGAGGATGCACCATGCCATGGTGACAAGGGAGAATATTTGGACCAAAGAGAGATGTAGTGGAAGGAGGCTGGAGAAAACTGTACAATGAGGAGCTTCATAACTTGTACTCTTCTCCAAGTATAATTAGATTGATCAAGTCAAGGAGGATGAGGTGGGCAGGGCACGTAGCACAAATGGGGGAGACAAGGAATGCGTATAGTATATTGGTGGGAGAGCCAGAAGGAAAGAGACCACTGGGAAGAACAAGGCGTGGGTAGGTGGACAATATTAAAATGGATCTTAGAGAGATAGGGTGGGATGGTATGGATTGAATTGATCTGGCTCAGGATATGGACCAGTGGAGGGCTCTTGTGAACATGGTAATGAACCTTCGGGTTCCATAAAATGCTGGGAAATTCTTGAGTAGCTGCAGAATTGGCAGTTCCTCCTGAAGGGTTCAGCTCCGTGAGTGAGTGAGTGAGTGAGTAAGTAAGCAAGCAAGAGAAGAATACTGTGATGTGAAAAGGAAAGGAAAAAGGATTCATAAGAAGAAAAAGGATTATTATGAAAAACAACTTAAATTGCTACAAAAATGTGATACTAATATGACAGTTGGAAGTTCTACAAGCAAGTGAATACAATGAGGGATGGCTTCCAGGCTAAACCATTGAGTTGCAGGATTACAGATGGTAACACTCTCTCAGATAAAGCTGATATCCTGAATAAATGGAAGGAGTATTTTCCAAATCTGTATGATATGACAGAGGATAAGTTGGAAATGCCCCCACAGTGGATAGTACCATCTACTGTTGAAGTTGAAGAAATACCATTACCCACCATGCAAGAGGTGAATTTTACAGTTTTAATACATTAAGGACTGGCGATTTAAATATTTAAATCACCCTGGGGCCGCCATTATTAAACCTACTATCCTAATTTGTGGACTGTTCACTTTAAAAATTAATATAAAATCTCCTAATTAATTTTATGAAAAAAAAATTTTTGGAGAACACTTCCCATTACTCCTAGAAGTGCTTGAGGGCATGATATTTCTGGAATCATTCCCCTTTGTGAAGTGGCATTACACAGAACTTGCAAATGTAGACATACTCCATTTTTTGTGAACTGTGCAAACACGGCATTGCCTAGAAGGATGCTTCCCCTTGGAATGTTCACTCATCACAAATTTCACGAGGGTACGTTTCCGCATATCACCCAAGAGTCGCCCTGGGGGGTCCACATGAGGCCAGCGTAGGCTGGGAGTTGATGGGCCCAGTCGCACTAAGTCTGTGCCTGAATGCTTTGTATTTCAATTTTGAATCAGGGTTTAGATTTTTGTGATTTTTTTTTTTTTTAGATTTTGTACTATCCCCACAATGTTATTACCTGCACTACTGTCGGAGCTACTGTCACTTTTACTGTCTGTGGCCACAATTCTTTGTTCTCCCCTGTCACTGCCATTCTCTGAATCACCATGACTACACGTCTCACAAGGCAGGTCAGCTAGCTCATCGGAGAAGAATTTGTCCTTGATCCATACTCCACCAACTACTGGCTGATACATACAGCTAGAAGAAAGCAAAGCGTTTTCCTTTATAGTGGGTTAAGATAACAGCGAGGTCAAGTTACTGACTGCTAGGTAAACATTCAAGAGTTTTATTGCACAGTATTCACTGAGTTGGGTGGTGCCAGAGCAAGGTATAGCGTCTTACAACCTAACGTGTCCTAAAATCATGATATCATGCGAACAGTCCTCAATGTGTTAAAATTGAAAAATAACACAGCTTCAGGACCAGAAGGACTGCATGCCAAACTTTTAAAGTAGACGAAATGAGTCTCACAGACTATGGAAGTTGATTGAGAAGGTGTGGAAAAAGGAAATATTTCCCAGTCAGTGGAAAGAAGGGTTAATATGCCCTATCTACAAAAAAGAAAAAAAAAAAAGATAAAATAATGTGTGAAAACTATTGTGGTATTTCTTTGCTAAACACAGCATATAAAGTATTCTCAGTTGTACTATTTCAAAGACTACAACTCACTGTAGAGACAAGTACTGGAAATTATCAGTGTGGGTTTACGCCTGGAAAGTCCATTTCAGACCATTTTCATTCAGTGAGACAATTACTTGAAAAAGTGAAAGAATATGGAGTTAATACGTACTAGATGTTTGTAGACCTCAAAACTGCCTATGACAGCAATGATAGAGCTGGGCTCTTCAAGGCTATGGAGGAATTTCATCATCATCATCATCATCAGTAATCTGTCAGACGACAGGTCCACAGTCTCTTCCAAAACAGTTTCTCCACTTAATGCGATCTTCTGTTTTCGGAAAGAGACTATCCAGGAAAAGTGATAATGTGGTAGTTTTTCCATTTGCTTTCCACATCGCAGTACAACAGCCGTTCAAACCACTCTGGTCACGCCTGTTGCTATCTCGAGCATCATTTGCTCTGTGCTTCAAGTCGCTGCTGATGACGCTGCTTCCGACATCAGTTTTCGGTGTCTCTCTTCGTCTGATGCCTACACTTTGATCTGTCCAGCAAGGGAGGCCCTGCCTGTAGCTATGCTACCGCTGGTATAGCTGGTATAGGGTCCTCGGCATACTCAAACCCCCTCACCACGATAAGGTGGAGACACCAAGGAGGGGGGGAGGAATTTCATGTCCCCAGAAAACTTACATGTGTAGTGGATCCTATTCTCAAAACTGTAAGATGCAGAGTTAAAAAATTTAATGGAATAACTTAATTTTCTGAGACTCACACAAGGATGTGCACTGTCATGCCTTTTGTTTAATCTAGCCCCAGAGAATGTTGTAAGAGAGACCAGTCTGGATGTAAGAGGTACCATACTCCATGGATCTCTAAAGATATTAGCATATGCTGCTGATGTTATTTTTGGTAGATATGAAAGAAAATCTCTGGGGGGGTGTGTTTCTAGAGGAAATGTCATGCAGGCGTTACAACAAGAAAAAGTGCGAAGATCAGAAGAAACATCATGGATACAAGATTGGAACATGGAATGTAAGGACCTTGAATCAAGCAGGAAAATTGGAGAATTTGAAAACGGAAATGCAGAAGAATGAAGTGTCTGTTCTAGGTGTCAGCGAAGTGCGGTGGAAAGGACAAGGTGAAATAAGAAGCGGTGATTATACAGTGTATTATTCCGGAGGTGAACGGGCTGAAAGAGGTGTGGCAATAGTGGTGCATAAAAGTGTAGTGAGGAGTGTTGTTAAGAAGATTGCTTGTAATGACAGAATTATTGCTCTGAAGTTAAAGGCAGAACCGGTAGATATACTGATTATACAAGTGTACATGCCAACATCAGAGTATGAAGACGATGAAGTGGAAAAAGTGTATGACACAATTGAAGAAATTCTTCAGGAAGATGGAAGAGGAGACACAAACAGCATCATATTGGGAGAATGGAATAGCATTGTTGGAGATGAACCATATCAGAATATTGTTGGATCACATGGACTAGGAAGACGGAATCACAGAGGTCAAATGCTTATTGACTTTTGTGAACGAAATGGATTGATTGTTACCAACACTTGGTTCAAGAAGCCAAAGAGAAGAATTTACACATGGAAGGCACCTGGGGATTGGAGGAGGCATCAGCTGGACTACATCCTTGTGAAACATCGATTCAGAAACAGTGTGAAGGATGTGAAGACGCTTCCTGGGGCAGACATTGACTCTGACCACAATTTATTGGTTGCCAAGTTCCGAACCACGTTGAAGAAAATTATAAGATTTCGAAAGCGCACACCCAGATGGGATTTGGAGAAGTTATATGCTCAAAGACAAAGCGTGCAAGAGACTCTAGAAGAGAAACTCGGTGCAATTGAAGGTGAAAGCGGAAATGCTGAAGCGCAGTGGAACGATATAAAAGAATGCATGTTAGATACTATCAGTGATTTGGTAGGTAAAGTTGAGAAGATAGCAAGAAAACCATGGGTTACACAGGAGATGATGAGTAAAATGGAGGAGCGAAGGAAATGGAAGAATGTCAACAATGAAGAAGGCAGGAGGAAATAGAGGAGACTGAGGAATGAATTGAAAAGAGCCATGGACAGGGCCAAAAAGGAATATTTTGAGAAGATATGTAATGAGATCATAGAATTTCAAAGAACAGGACTTTAAGATTTGATGTACATGAAGACAAAAGACTAGGATGGAAAGAGAATCATGGGATTC